TACACATACACATACACATACACATACACATACACATACACATACACATATACACATACACATACACATACACATACACATACACACATCGATACAATGTCTGGGTAATCCAGATTATGGCAAAAAATGGCAGATAAAGTGGAAAATAATGCGATGAAGGGGGAAAACTGCGTGAATAGGTGTTTCCAAAGTGAAAAAAGGTTTCGAAAAATGGTTAAAAAGGGGGCTGGGTGAGAGTGAGATCAGGAGAATGAAGAAGAGTGGGGCGTTTGGACGAGCTACGCACAGTGCGTCATTGCGTACGTGTGGGTCCTGGTGCAAATAATTGACTGCAGTAAGCAAAAATTCATTCACTTATAAGCATGAGTAAACAATAACCCTAGTTACAGTAAAAAGAATAACAGAGAAAAAAATGGAAAAAAAAACATCGCCTCTTCACTCGGCGATCAGCTGATTGTGTGTGGGTCTTAGAACGAATAATAGCTATCTGTATTGCCTCGGCACTCGTCTCATGTGACAACGATCGAGGGCGGGAGAGCCACTCAAGCCAGCAACAGGGCTTCCACTATGCCCTAACAGTCGAGATTTCGGGAGCGAGAGGATGCAATGATCCAAACTTTCATCGATTCCACTTTTCTTTCGTCGTGACAACGACAAATGTCACTTCACCAAAAACTGAAGCCGCTTAATCTGTGAAGTCAACATGACCGTGAAGCGTGTACCTAGCAGACAAGCGGACCCAATATTTGAGCTGTAACAAAATTTCGAATTTGTAACTAGACTGGACAAAGCTCGGTAGTACACCCTGCTCTATAGAATATCACAACAAAAATAAGTGAATTTCAGGTTTGGCAGTGGAGCAGTTTCGGAATTAGGGCCGCTGAACGATTTTAAGGAATTCAGAAGACGCACGCTGCTTTCCAGCCAATACGAGTTTGCCACCCATAGGCTCTTCCCTATGATCTCAATGAAGGAAAATAAGGTAGGATATAATTTTCCGCAAGTTTTGATTTCTGTCACTCTTCTTAGAATCACTTCATTCCATTTCTTATAATGCTTATGTAACTGACATTAACTGCATGGAGGATAAGAGGATAAAGCCTTTGGACATTAATCGATCCCGTCTGAGGGACGCGCCCCGCATTCGACTTACAGTCAGAATCGTAGAGGCGTATTGGATGTTATACAAGGAATAATGACTTGCAGCGTCCAGCCGATGTACAAGTCAGTCTTTCATCCTCGCAGGCAGGCAAGTCCGGACCTACTTACCAATCCGAAAAACTTGGTTGGCTTAGGCGGATATCGATTCGGGAATCAAACCCCTGATCTTACGCGTGATAACGCGGCGCTTACCACCGCACCACCTTCGATGCACCATGTTAACCGAATGACTAACAAAATAAGTAATAATGTTCGAGTTATCATATGGTGCATATAAATATGTCAACAGGCTTTTCATTGCCACAAGCCATACAACCTAGACACTTTCAAAATACTTTTTCCAGATCAAGTTCGCCTACTCAAATGTTGGCGGTAGTACTCTGTTCACTAGGGCGCTCCCACGCCTTTTTTATGTTATGACTCTCGGTGGACTATCAGTCCCATTAGAGAAGATTTTGGTTTCTCCGATGGCTTTTCCTCGAGTGAGCGATGATTCCGCTGTGTGGGATGGTTCAACATACAAAGGAATGATCTTTTTGGATGGAATTGACTTTCTGGTGAGCATTTTTTTCATATTTGCATTGTCATTTTCTGTCATTTTTGCTTTTACAAAAAACTTATTTTGTATCGGTCTCAAAAACTTTATCGTGTCCTCTCAGAAGAAAACGAATTCACGGTAACGAAAACGGTTTAACTCATTAAATTGTCAATAGTTTCGACAATTTTCGAAAATTCCCTGAAACGTGCTCTTTGTATACTCTTCAACAGCCATTATAATTTGATAGAAACTGGTTTTCTTTGCTTTTTCAGATTCCACCAGGTCAGTACTTGATAGCATAGGCTTTGGATTTGATTACAGCCTGATGACCTCGAGGCATAGATACCACCAGTCGTGTGAGTGAGCTGGGAGAAAAGCTCCTATAGGCTTCAACGAACTGCTCGATTTTTTCACTAGCGGATATATATAGTGTTGCGCTCAAAAGTGTTCGGTGAAATAATTCTTCAGTCGTACTTCTCAGTCGTAACTCCTTTCCTACTGGATCTAATCATGCAAAATTTCTATATTTTGAGCGTGGGTGTATTATGAATATTTACCACTATTAACCTGCAATCTGATCATGTTCCAGAAATTCCAAAAAGCATAAACTCAAAATCGACAAAAAATACAGATGATGGTCCTTCTAGAACCTCCTTCCTTTTCGTCCTG